TCTACTTCCATAACTCACGGCACAGCCACAAACGGGCTGGTGTATTTCTCCTTTCATATCCCCCACACGAAAACCAAACCTAACAGCGACATTATCATCCTCACTGACTCCAGCTGTTCCTGCAGCCCAACCGCCGCCTTCGGTCACCACTTATCCGCGAACACATGTATTCCTGGCAACGCCCCGCTCTTCGCATTCAGAACTGCCAACGGCGGTTGGTCTCCCTTGCGACGTGATTGGTTCCTCAACAGATGCGGATCCATTTGGACATTGGCTGGACTGAGCTCTATCAAGGGGCATGGTTTTCGGATCGGCGGTACCACATTTCTCTTACTTCTTGGTATTGACCCTTGGATCATCATGGTCCAAGGGCACTGGTCTTCTCAATCTTTTCTTTCCTATTGGCGCAAGTGCGAGGAGATTCTCCCTCTGTTCATCGGTTTCTCGTTTCAAATGAAATCTTCTATTCTAGATACAATGTCTAAATTTCATGAGAGGTTACTGCATCCACCTTAATAAAATCTTTCTTCATTCCACTCGGGGGAGTCGGTCTGTGGATCCCGACTGATCATTCATGCTATGAACTGATTGAATGGTGGAGTCGGTTAGCTCCACAGACCTCATGCGCGAGGCCGAAAGAAGAGGATGCGGAGACTATGCGGAGGCTGCCTAGATGGGGGTCGGGAGAAGAAGAGGAATGCTTATCTAAGCATTCTCTCCTCATCCTAGGCAGCCCGGGTTTAGCTTGGTACCTGAAGAATGCATGAAAGTCCTGAGGAATCCACCAGAGTCGTCCCTCGCTTTCTAGCTCAACCTAACATAATACGTGTGACGAGTGACACAATGGTACTCATTTACTGGCAAGCTAAAAGCCTTGGGTCTCCGACATACAGTAATTTGGATGTTCGGAGATGTACATTACTACATGTCGCGTATTGGACCAGCGTGGCAAAAATCTTTCCCTCAGAGCTCTCCTGCTCAACCTGGTCCTCGTTCGATCAAACATTAGCGGTTGCAAATGTACTGCGTATCAAGAGGGTCGCCCTCCACAACGAGATGTCATACTACCCCGACCTATTCCAGCAATCGCGACTTAGTCAGTGACAACCTCACATTCAAGTTCCAGATATTGCATGAGGTGATGCATCCTCCGTCTACAATTCTTGTTACTATCCATGGTTATGCAGTCTTTCCACGGCACCATGGCGATCTGGCTTTTCTCTCCTTGAAGAAATTGATTGCCCTTGGTGTCTACTCTTACATGGCGACTCAGTGGAGCACAATGTATCCTGAGATCAACCGCTTCTTGGGTGACATTAGCTCCAGAAATTTAGGTCCTGTACGGATACGAAAGTTAATGTGACATTAGCTTAGTCACTCATCAACTGCCCCCGGCGCTCCCAGCTGGCCGCCGGCCTGAGTTCCAAAGGCCGGTCACGCCATCCATGCCACGATTCGCACGCCGCACTCGCACGCCGCACTCTCAACATCCACGCATGCACACCCATAACTCACTGCCTGAATCCTGGCCTGGAGGGCAACAATCTCAGCAGATACCATCTCAAAGGGGTGAGGAACCTGGCAGATGTGATTGGGGCGCTGGATCTCTGGAGGCCTTGGTGCATTTCCTGGTAGAGCACAAGGCAGAGGCCGGCAATGGTGGTAACTTCACGGAAGCGACTTGGACGAAGGTGGCAGCCATGTTGGTGCCGTATTATGTCAGGGGAGCTGTGAAAACCCCTAAAGCGTGTAGGCAGAAATGGATTCGGGTGAGTGTCTGTGCGTATCGGGTTCCGCATGCTGAT